TATTTCAAAAACGTAGAATAAAATTTATTCATGTAAAACTTTTGTTTTCGAAAAAAAAATCGTCTTTAAATATTCATTAGACTTTTTACTATATCGACTTAACAGATTCGCTGTAAGACTAAAACTATTTCTGTTCATGTTTGTGTCTATTATATTGTCTAATCGAGAATATATGATAAAACAGATATTCATGTACGATGAATTTTATTACTTTCTAAACTGTTATAAATATTCGAAAACCAAGACTTATAGAAAATTTTTATTTTATAGTTTAGATTAATTTTTTCACGTAGAATCACTCCTTTCTCGATTGTATCACGATTTCCAGAACACCCAATATGTTTATATCTCGCACCTGTGTGCTGCGTCGATAAAGAGCGTTAATATAAAAGGCGTTAGGTGCGTTAATCGTAATATTAATTACGTAATCGCGTTTACGACACGTGCACAGATATGAGGGAGTGGGTTTCCGGGTCATCCGAAAGCGATCCACGCAATCAGGTGTTTGCGTTGCATCATTCAACGATTCGTCTTGACTACTGTTGATTAATACATTACCGCATGCCTTTGTATACATGTCTCGTGAGAGATATGGTCACCTAGATAGATATCGGCATAAATTACAGCTCAGTACACTGGACACGCTACATAGAGTATCATGCTTAATGACCGTGTTATACTCTGTAACGTGTGATTGCTCCTTAATCGATCGGATAGAACAAACAGTAATACACCGATGTGAAATTATTATGTGTTACGTTTAAATTACAGGAAAAAGCAATCGCAAGAACTTGACGTCAAGAAACGTATAATTGATATCTTAAAAAAAAAAAAAAAAAAAAAAACTCATGGATAGTTTTTTGCGCACCCTGTCAGGCGAAATTAAAAAATTCACAGATCAGACCTTGTTTATTACGATAATTTCGTATGCTTCCAGGTTTTTTTTTTTCAGTATTTCCTACTGTAATTTCTAATATGATAACATTTGTCGATATAATAATTGATCGTTGAAAGAAAAACGAATGTGACTGTACGTGACTTGAGTCACGTTTTACGACGCAATATAATTTACTAGATACTAGCTTGTTAATATTTATAGTTCCTGTTTGTCAGTTTTCTTGCAGTTATCGATATTGAAATCAACTCATCCATTATAAATATTCCGCCTGTCAAACTTATTAGCCGTGCTTCCGCCGATCGGAAGAGTTCTGATGATCGATCGATTGCTGACGCAATCGCATTTAGGATCGTTTCAACAAATACATCGAAGTAAAGTACAGTAGGGTAAACAGTCGTTCGTCATATCGCCAGTTAGTGCACGCAATTCGAAATGGCAATGGACACTTCACGTGTGTCTGGAAGCCGATTAGTCAGTTCGAATTCTTTGTCTCCCGCGAGATTCGTTTCACGAAGATGAGCGGATCTTTTATTCGCCCCAATCGTTTCCCACTTCCGTATATACGTGTAAAAATCTCTTCATACAACGTTCATTCGGTTTTCTTATATGTCTTGGCATGCGGAAAAAAGAAAATTGCAAGTGACGAATTTGCAATAAAATCTACGAAACCGAAAACTTCAATAGTTCGATACAGAAACTATTCAGTATTGTGCAAATTAAATTTTGATTATGTATAAGTGTATAAATAATATGGTGTCCCAAAATTGACGATAAACATTTTAAAGATAGATTTTTTGCATCTTAAGATGATAAAGTTTCCAATACGAAAATGCCAAGGCTATGATCAATTTTTTTTAAGTGGGAATAGTTTAAATATTATAACAGGGATAAAAAATTTAGGACATCCTATGTTTTGTGTGTGTGTGTGTGTGTGTGTGTTTGTTTGTGTGTGTGTGTGAGAATTTTTGCAGAGAAGCATAGATAACATAGATAATATAGATAAAAAGTTTTTCTCGTTTTCCAAGAGAACCTTGCAATTCTCAACGTTTCTCATCGATAACAAGTTTACACAAATCGCATTATATACTTTCACATATTGACTATTTAGTCATCAAAGCATTACTAACATTTCAATGCATTATCTACGCATTATCGGTATTTGAAGTATTGCGAAAAATATTTTCAGGAAATTCTTCTCACCGATTTTATATTTATCAGTGATCAATATTATTTCTCGAATACCTACTGAAATGAAATGATAATGAATACTAATCTAGTCAATAGGTATCACTTAAATAACTACTGTTCAACTTGCAGTGCTACTGTCGCACGGAGACTGAAAGTGTGCAGTTATGACACGAGTCTACAGCACAAATACAAACACAATTTGTCCCACAATGATGTGGTCGACCTTGTAATGGGTCGCTAACCTGTGTGCACACACAGTGCACGCACACAAACCGCGAGAGACTTTTCACTTTGGCGCCGGCTTTCGCCGAGTAATATTGAACGTCCCACACCGAACGTAACGCAAGTGGGACACGTCACATTGCGCATCCTCCGTTATAACTGTCTCGCAAAGAGAAAAAAACCAAGTACGAGTGATAACAGAACACCGTGTATATATGACGAAGCCGTTGTGCGTCTACTAAGCGCGTTCGCGTTGTCGCAACTCGAGGAATCGTTATCATTCGTAATCAGATTACAATTGAAAAACACCAAAGACGGTTGCACCAAATATATTAACATACGCTTTCTTTCAACAATCGTCGACGTGGTCGATTTCACCAAGCGATACTCGACGTAAATAAGCGAAACGAAACGGGTTCGGATAAATGCGCTTACTTGGCTAAAATCATCGCCGCAAAGTGATTAATCGACGGCTTAAGAGAGCGCGCCTGCGGCTGATTATTATTATTATACGTCCATTATGGAAAGGATTTACCCAATGGTAGAATACCCGATACCAATCTCTGGTGCGTTCAAGTTAGCCATCAAAGTTGGTGTAACTGAATTTTGCGGGATTCCTATTCAAATAAATGTATAGAGTAGTCAATAAATATACGTGAATTTATAAAAAGGAAAGGGAACGAGAAAATAAGATCTTTATCTGTAATATTATTTCTTTCTCTCTTAATTGTAATATTATCTGTAATATTATCTCTTAAATAAATATTAATTATTAATCGTTTTGCAGAAACTATACTAGTACATTTAAATAGTCAAACATATGTATCTCTTATATGCTTTACGTAAATTAATCCATAATGTTCTTATTCCAATTCTTTTTGCATATCACAAAAGAATTGTTTTGCATCTTAACAATGTTTATTGTACGCGGAAAGAACGATTTTGCTGAAGTAACTAAAATTTTAGCTAGACACAAGTCTGACAATAATTTTGTTGGACTATCAAAATAATTACGTAGGACGCTGAAATGGTTGCTAAAATATCAAAATTTTTGCGTAGCATTACTCGAGATTTTTATACAATTATTTTAATAGTTCAACAAAATTACTTTCAGCTCTGTGTTTAGCTAAAATTTATAGGCACTTCAACAAATCGTCCTTCCCATATATTTTTCTGATGTGTATTTTTCTTCCAAATTTGCGGGTTTGGAATTGGGTTTATTTTCGGCGATTGCGGAAGCAATCCCATGAGGGAGTTTCCGCCTATTCTCTGTCAACATTGCGACTAAATCGACCAGGCGGCGACACGTGGACTCGATTACATAGATGAAAGTACACATAACAACCGAAAGACTCATTAAGGAATGGTTCTCGAATCGACCGATCTATTATTAAATGACGACCGGCGTTCGTTACCGTCGTTACCGAGAGAGGCCGACTCGGCGGAAATAACAAATTACTCAATGTCAGTTAGTCGGCGTGGTAGCCGGAGATCGTGAGAGTAGTCCAAGCACTCGAGAAAATTTACTTGATACTTTTCGACAGGAACTCAATGATCGTATCGCTGGAGGATATTCCTTTCCGTTCTCAAGAGAAAAGCAGATCTTGAAGAAAAATCCGTAGAAAAACATCAAAATAATTGATTCACGATTCATCGCGTCGAATGTTTGTCCATTCTTCAGCTCACATTATATTTTATTGACTATTTTATAAACATTCTTTGCGCAATCGTTG